CTGCTGATTAAGGTGCTGATTCTTCTTCCATTGAAGCCAGCGAATTGTTGATTTGAATTGGAACTGGATTTACTCTTCAAAGAAGTAGACAACTGTAAAACAGCACCATGCTTTCTCTGCTGATGACTAAATTCTAGTTAGAAAACGTCACTATTAAGTTCTGTAAGGTACTTAGAGAGGAGGAAGGTAGGTATTAATTTAGTGGTAGTAAAGTACACACGCAAATATTTAAGTTTTTGTCTCTACTGCAAAAAGACAGACAATACAGCAATGCTCAGTCTGGCACCAGTAGTGTAAATAGTAGCATATCTGTCTAATTTATTTCATTCCTATACGCAAAAGGTTGAACTCATAGCTATTTTGAGAATAAGGGAATTAACAGACTGGAAGCAGTTAGGCAATGTTACAATGTTAAGAGATCTTTGTCAGGTCTGTCTGTTGTGTTCAGTTATTTGTCACTCTGAAACTGAAAAGCTATAACCAAAGATGGAGAAATGAAAACAGATTATGGGTAAAGATTAACACTGAGAAGTTGAACAACATTTTGATCGAAAGCAGATACAAAATACACGCTTTTCAAACTAGGTAAAACTTGAACACTAACAAAAATGACATGGATGGAACAAAATCAAAGATCCCTTTAAGTATGTGTTTTCCTCATATATAAATACAGTAGCAGAGTTCTTTTGATAATCTGTAACCATAGGCAGGAAACTGTAATGAAATACACAGTCCCTATTTGAAGTACTCATTGCTTATTTCAGTCGCAGAATGTGGATTGCCATTCTTCTGCAGTTACTGATTCTCATACGTAATGCCGAGAGGTGCTGCCCCAGCGCAGCTCGGTAGCACAGCAGCTCTGTGCCGAAGACGTAACGGGTAGCTAGGCAGGAGGCACAAGGATCAGAGGGAGGCACAAAGGTACGTAAGGGCCGTGCTGGCAGCTCACATCCAACAGCTCACTGCTGTAACCACACTGTACAGATTGCTAGGGCTTTGCCTTACCGACTAAACCAAACCATTTCCCTGTGGAAATGACAGCAACATTTGTTTGCAGAGCAGATGTAATTTTGTAATTTTAAGAATTTAAAATTGTAATTTTAATTTTCCAGTATTGATTCCTATGCAGATTAAGGGGTTTTATGCATGGTGCTCTCCACATTTCTCAGCAGCAGCCTGGGGAGAAGCAATGTGGAAATCATGCTCAGAACTCTCTTGAGCTACAATGATCTATTTTTATTTATGATGACATGACCATCTGTCATGCAACTTTTTTCAGTGAGGCAAGAAGAGTCTGGCAGCTTGCTCCTCCTTTCCCAAATGGTAGGTAGGGAAATCTCCTGCTTGCTCTTCTCAACACTCCCTTTAGACCAGTTTCTTTCTCAAATCAAAGCCCTGACAGCAGTAGCCCTGCAACAGGGAACAGGAGCCAGGACTGACCAAGCCAAGACCAGCAGTAGCCCTGCAACAGGGAACAGGAGCCAGGACTGACCAGGCCAAGCCAAGAAACATGGAGCAGTGCCATTTTTCTCAAGTAAGAATCAGTTACAAAACATAGGTAACAACTATGACAAATTTTTAAAAGCAGATGTGGTGACTGCAAACTTCAGACATTTAAAATCCAACCTGCAACCAAACAAAATTATCTGAACACAATACAACTTCTGAAATCATTTCAACAGAAATAATAATCAAAACTATAGTTTTGCAAGAGCATAAAGTAAGCTGACTTTCAGTAATGAAGAGTTTTGGCCTTTCTGCTGCAAATGGAGGCAGCGTGAAAATTTCATCTCCACTTTTCATTCATCAAGGCAAAGTTAGCTCTAAGACAAAACAGACATTAACATGAAAAGAAAGAAGTCAACATTATTCTGTAGTCTCAAAAAGACCACTTAGTCCTTTCACGACTTGCACTAAAATTTGTGCAAAGATATTCTGAATCCTATAGCCAAGTAAACTCCAGCTTCTCCAAACTTTTCTTTCTTTTGACATCTCAGTTCAAAGAAGTATCACAGACACCTAAAATTTTGTCTCTGTGCATGTCCAGCACTGTTCTGTGAGTGTGCATAAGGGAAATCTGGGAGCCCTAACATCTGCAGACTACTTCTGGAACAGCCAGTATTAAATTGCCACATGAGAAAGCAATAGCATGTTTAATACATGTGAACAAGGAAATCTAAATGGTATGACAAGATTGACTAAATAGTACCAAGCACTCTGTATCGATTAGTAGCCAAACGGACAGGAAGACTGCAACAGCTTTCAAACAAGGCAGAGATGCAGAGTCATACAAGTAAGGTACTACAGAGAATAAGCTTCTCTCTCTCTGATATCTATCACTGCACAGGTAGGTATTTCAGGGACAAATAAAAACTCTGCAACCCCCAGATCCAATCCAAACCCCGCCAAAGTGCCTTGAAATAAGACAGTTTTTCCTAAGGACATGCCTACAGTGTAGAACACAGTGCCACGTGACAATGACCGAGCTAGCTCTGAGTGACTTTGTTTAACATATCAAAAGCAATTAGAAATAGCTACATTACCAGATAAACACACCCAGCTTCCTAGAAGGACTAATCGGCAGCAACCGAGTGCCAAGCAGCTAACACTGCATCTAGAATCCAGTCTAGCTTGTTTGGGACTGGCTCAGGTATCACTTCATGGCACTGCACGAAGCCATTCAAAAGAACTTAAAGTTAACAGGATGATTCCACAAGGAAACAAGGTAATAACACGCTAATACCGGCTACCTTCCTTAAACTTCTTAACATGACAAAGAAATTATTTTCAATATGGTACCTGATATAATATGTTTCAAATATGACTGATATTCATACAACGACATTTTTCAAGGAGCTTTTTATTTGTCTGCTTCCTTTCTTGGATATACACAACATACACAGCAAATAGTTCTTACGTTGGTGTTTTATTCAAACATGAGATCTGAGTCCAAATACAAAATTCAGTGATGCTTTTTGCTTTGAACACAAGAGTTAACTTCTTATTCACATGAAAAGCCAACAGACTTACCAGAATACCTCTATACTGTAAGACTTCTGGAAGCGGAGTATTAAACCCTAGTTCAGATATACATAATTTCATAGTACAGAAAATATATTACCTTTACAAGAAAGAGTTTTATAAGAATTCCTTCGAAAGAGTAAACATTCACATAAGCCTCCACTCTATCAACCTCCCAAAATCAACTGTAGTCAAAGACCACTATGGCTACCTGCGCCTTCTGGACATAAGACCATTTTAGAAGAGCACCATCATAGCTGTAAAATTGTCAGTCAATCCTTTAGCTGTCATAAATATACTTATTTTGTAATTAAAAATACAGGAATCTCACATTTCTCAATTACAATTTGTCAGCTTCAATTATATATAAGCATATAAAGCCATATAGGACCCTCTAGCACAGAAAATCCACAAAGCCCTTACTGTCCATTGTAAGCAAAGTCAAATCACATGTTGTTTTCACAAAACATAGTATTACTGACTCCAAAAAAATGTTTAGCTTGGCAACAACTGTGGTAACAAAAAAGGAAAAAAGAAAGACAAGTTTAAAAGCAGGAGATGTAGAACCTGTTGAAAGCAGGCCCTTCTAAACTACATCTGTCCAATGACCAGATACAACGTATGTGCCCACAGAAATAAGCCTACCGTGTTTCACAGGAATTGTTCAGCATTGCAAACAATAGCACCCACGTGCTCCACCTCATTTTTGTTAAATCACAAGTTTTTAATAATTCAAATAATTTATCATCCAGATTTTAAAAACCCAAGATATTAAACAGTAGAAGTTCACAGGTTAGTTTTAAAATTCTGTTCCCAATCTTAATATAGTATAGTATAGTATAGTATAGTAAAACATGTACTTTTGAGGCACGGCTGAAAAATCCAAGCAGGAATTGATTGTCTTACATATAACCATAAACATTCAAGAAATGGTTGGTCTATTCTCAGTTGAAATTTCAGTGTTCCCACAAAAGGGAAGGGTCCTGGTGATTTGATTTTCTGTATTCTATAAACGTGAGTATACAGTCAACGTTAACATACAAAACTTGGCACTAGAACTGCCTCTTTCAGAGCCATGCAGTCTTTGCATGCACTGTAACCTACAGTCAAACAGAATTTCCAACGGTGCTGGAAATTTTCTATTATTCTATATCTGACTTTTCTATTAAAAATAAACATAGGCTGGATTTTTGTTTTAAAAAGCCTATCTTCTCCCACAACTTGAAAAACAAGTATCAAAAAGGAACAAACAGCAAAAATAGAAGAAATAAACACATTGTGCTAGTTATGAAGCTCTGACACCTGACAGCCACAGTCTGGAACATTAAAAAATTCCTATATACAAATTTTATACACACACCAAGATTAAGAGTTTAAGAAAATTACTCTATCTGTTTTTGCATTTATTTCCACCTCTTCTGCATCTAGTTGCAACTCATGCAATCGCATTTTCAAATGTATTATTGTGCAATAATCTTCTTTTCTATTTGGTCTGGCAACAGAATTAGGTCAACACTTTCACCTATAGGTATCTAAAAGTACACCCTTTTAATTTAAAAGTTAGGCCTTAGTTTCTTGGATAAAACATAGCATATTTAGAAGTTCGAAAGCCAAGCAGGTCTCTCATTTCATTCCGGAATTTTGACAAGTCTTGCCGCAGTTCATTTAAGTTTTCCACAGTTGCCTGATCCGTGCTCTGCATCTTCTGTCTCATGGAAGTCAAGTAACGGTGGACTAAGCAACACATCACCTTTTGATAATTCTCATCTCTCTTTTGCTTCAGGTTTCTCCATTCCTTTAAACAAACATTAAACACTTACTATGGAAAAGTGATTTTTGAGCTCCAAGGCCTGTATACAATTATACAGACAATAAATAGGAACAAAATAACAAAGCTATTTTATAGATACATCCTGATGTGCACAAATGTACAATGCATGTAAACTGCCAGAAAAATTTAAATTAAATTGTAATCTCCTGTACCAGCAAAATTGAAAATTTTTAATCTACCTGGCTTGGTTATTGTCTTACAAGCAATTAAGACTTCCATAATCCTGAATGTTTCTCAGTGGACATTCCACCAAGTCATTGCATTTAGTTTATTTAATACTATTTTTGTCAGCAAGAAGATGCAAAATTAGAACTCAAAGTTACAGGATACAATAAAAAATGTTTACTTAAAAAAAAAAAACCAACAACCCTCCCTCCAACGAGAGGCTTCAGTGATCCTTTTTGGTTATTTGACACTTCTGTAGTATGTTTAAAACCAATTACCTGCCCCAAAGAACCTCACCATTTTTGAGATTAGCACACACTTCCTTGAGGTTTCTATGAGTTTTCAATCCACCAAAGCATTTTTTTTCAGACTATTTCTGGAGGAATGGGGGGTTGGAGGGAAGGGAGTTGAAATTCCCAAAACGGAAAGTTAGTAGAATCTTACTTAAGTAGAAATAGGTAACACTTACTTATATTTGGATGCAACACACATTATTCTATAGTTCCTATTTACGTTAGTGGCACTCACCATCTGACAAGAAGCTTCATGCAGCAATTTGCTGATTCATTTTAGCAAGCAGCGCCTTTCCAGCTTCAGAGCCTACAGCTTTCCCAATAATTTCTTACCTTTAGGCTGTTCTGACGTTTCACTTTGCCACTTGATGTATGAGAGCAGATCCATTTACTGAGACTGTTGAAAAGATAACAGATAGTCTTGGGAGAGGGAATAACATTGAAAGGTGGAGGTAGCGTGCATTTGTCATCAAAGTAGCTAAGCCAAAGCTTGGCACGAGCAAACTTCCATTCCTTATCTTCATGATTCTAAAGCATCAGAAACATTAACAGAGATCAGAAGCAAAAATATTAGCAGGCTATTTCATACGTTTTAGAAAACTTTTTTAAAAAACTGACTGTTATTTAACTTTGATTATATAGTATTTTAATATATAGATAATACAGTATTTTAATAAATTTGTTCTAATACAATAATATTAAATAATTAAAATACAAAACATATCTCTTCCATTCACTATATACTCTAGTGTAAATATAAAATTCAGCTATGAAGGTATAAACCCTCCATCAAATTCCCAAGCGCCACACCTTATAAAGAATAGCATCTTCACTTGAACAGCCATTGTCTCAAGAAAGTCTTCAATTCCCAGAGGGCCAAAGCCTTGCACGTGTTCAACAGGCAGGGTACCCATTTTACTTGGATCAAAGTAAATAAAAAGTTCATATTTGAAAGAAAGGTGCCCCTTATAGGCTCAGAGACAGAGCTTATCCACAGAGGTCTGTAGGTTAGTCTACACATCACAGAAAGAAATTTGTATAAAATTTAAAGATACAGCTAGCAATTATTGGTAATTAATCAGAAAGCACTTACTGCTATCAGCTGAAAACTTTTATGAAGCATTGCCACAAGGAGTTTAGTTAATACTATCACAACCACCACATTGTAGGTACCAACAATAACAGCACCCACAAAAGACTGTAATTCTTCACCATAGCTAAAACGTGTGACAAAGATGGCTACGTGTGCCAGGGAGAATATATACCAGAACAGAGCAAAACATGTCCCAATAAACCTACAAAAAAAAAAAAAAAAAAAAAAAAAAAACTAGTTAGGTAAAGTAAACAGTTAAAATTAGTTTACTTAATGTAAATTCAAGTTCAGTGAAAAATTCCAGTTTTGTTTAATTACTAGGAATTAAGGTCTAGAACAATTCAGCTATTTCATAGATATCAAACTCACGAATGGAATGTGTCATTGCTCTGTTGTTCACAGAAAATCCCCGCACAGTCCTTTTCTTCATTTATAGTAAATCCTTTATCATAAAGTTGTGTCAATCCAATTGTGAATGAGAACAAGACAAGAAGAAACATGCCCAGAAACTTTCCAAAATCTTGTAGCATCTGCCCCATTGAAATCTGTGAAATAGATTCATTTCCATTTTTAGTAAAACAGGCAGTTATTTGTTTGTATTCTCTCCTTCAGCCTCCAATCAAGAAAAATACATCTATTTACATTTTAAATGCTTAACTTAAAATTTAAGATGCTATACAGACCTCAAAATCAGGAGATACCCTTGTACTATTTTTCAGTGAAAAATTCTAGATATCAAAAAAAAATTAAGTAGTTTTAACATCACCTGATGAGTTCATATCTTTCAACTAACTATAAGCAATAGTACATACACCTTATTCTTTATTTGTAACACCAGTGGTAATAAGGAACTCACAAGTCAATAGATAGCAGTAAATGAAATGCATTTGAGCATAAATACCATTACAAAGTTAAGAAAACACTTAATAAGCAGACTGAATTAATCAAAACATTTGGAATCATAATTCATCACTCATCAAGCACTGGTATACCAAAGCCTATCTGCAGAACACAGAATTAATTCACTGTATGTTTTATGTAAGATTTTAAATATACACAATGTGTAAGTGTGTAAGCACACAAAAATTGAAGGGTGTAAAGTATGGAAGATATGACACTAAATTCAGATCATTAGTTTCCATTTCAGAATATCCTAAACAGAAGCTTGCAAGAATACAAATACACCATCTTTAAAAAAAAAAAATAAAAAATGCTTGTCCCTTTTTCCAACCCGGAGAAAAGCCTGACTTGCTCTTCTCCTAAGCACAAATTTTTAACACAGACACAGCATAAACTGTTTACAGCATTTAAATTACTCTTCCTACAAACTTCTTCAGAGAACAATATGCTATTATAAAGAATGCAAATATATATAATGGGTTTGGGTAAATCTAATCCTCTACACAAACCAGTGTGTGGAAAGCCTCATCCTATATGAATCACAATCTGTACCAAACCATAGCCCAGAATTGTATCACTGATCAGGTTTTGCAAGTACAAGTTTACTGGGAGATGAAGTGCCAGCTCCTGCTCCCTCCTATGCTGCTGGAAACTCACTACATACCCCTATTGCACAGCAGATTCTCTCTGATTCTTTCTAGTTTGCCACAGACATGGAGAATCTGCAACTGCAGGCAGAGCTATGCAGTAATCATACTGTTTGGTCAGAGGATTAACGTCATCCTCACACTGTTTCATCACATCTATCCTTTTTAAAGAAAAAAAAAAAACACAACAAAGCAAAACCAAACACCAACACAACATTTACCTGGTCACAGGCAAGAGAAACATAAAGCAGATGAAACAGGAATGCACAAAAAGTGCAAACCACCCAGAACTATTTTGTTTGGAAGAGAGTGTAATAACATAGCCCAAATACCACTTGCTTTCTCCATATCAGTCATGCTATTCCTTTCTAAGTATTCAGAATTTCTAAGCATTTGAAATCTAATGATCTAATCTAGGGGAATATTATTCTATTTTCTGTTCATAGTAAAAAAACCACCACACACAGCCAACTTAGAAATCTGTATTAAAATAGGTTTTATTACTCAATAAGTAAAGTAACTGAATGCTTAAAAATAACTCTAATAGCCAAGACAACATAGTAGCTGCCTTCCATCCCCCCACACTGTTAGGTTTCCAGGCCATATTTGATTAGCACCATTTGAACTTTGTGACCTACTTTCAGAAAATACTGCAAGAGTTGTTGCACAAGATGTACTGGCCAACAGTAACAACATAAGCTTCAGTGTGCCACTGAATAGGGTGACTGTTGACTGTTTGTATTTACTTGGAAAATTTCACAACATAGCCTCCTAATAAAAAACTTGTGAGAGATCTAGTACATAAATAAATATGCACATTAAACAGTGAATCTTTTTAAAATGTGGAGAGACTTCAATGTTCAATCAATATATATAACAAGCCTAATGCTTACTGCAACATGAGGACTTTAGTATTTTTTTCAAAGTATGCAAGTACATTTCCATTTAAAAATGTATAAAAGAAAGAAATACAAAAATAATTAACAGCAACATAGTCATAGCTAGAGAGAAAACAGCAAGAAGTAAAACAAACAAACAAACCCATGAGAGGACAAACAGGCACCTTCCAATAATATTGAAGCTGTTACAAGAACTATGAACATTCTTTTTAAAGCACTTTTTATGATGATTTTAAAAAGACCAATTTAACCAGTAGATTATGTTTCTTTTCAAAGAAGGACTATTCTGTATGAAAGAAAAATATTGTTCTGCATAATTATTTGCACAGCAAGATTAAGTACTCCAAGTCATTAAAGTGAGCTAAACCTTCAAGCTGGAGGCTTTCAGTTAGATCTTACAGCCTTGATACAAGACCTCTGAGCCAAAATTATTTACTTCAGATTTACTTCAGAATGTCCTTTGGTAAGCTCTAGTTGCAGAGAGAGAGTTAAAAGAAAAATGCTGCTTCCAAATATTTATTCTGTCTTTATGCTTAGTAGTGATAATGTTTCTTGCAGGAACTTTTCAGATCATCCTCTTGCCATAAAGCTCTTAAAACTAGTCCTGTTCGTAAGAGGAGAGGACAAAGCATGGATTTGACCTATTAGGACATAATTCCATCCATATAATTAATCACTAGATGACTACCCTATTTATTCCAAGTGTATTTTTATTCAACAGACACTTGCAAACCCAGTAACGATGATGTCAACCAGCTGCATTAACTAAATCCTATCACTATCAGGGGGAAAATAACTAACTAAAAATCAACAGTACAAGGCGGCAGTGATTTGTCATCATAAATCTCCCAGAAAGTCAGGCCAGAGAAACTGTAACTATACCTATGCAAAGCTTTTTTCAGTAAGCTCTGCCTTTAATAACGGGTGCTTTAGTTTGTAAGGGCTTTTCACTGGTAAAGTAACAAAATCAGTCAGTGCTGTGGACTCAAGCTGAACAGAAAAACCACAGAAAGGGAAAAAATTGTTGCTAGTGGAGTAAGAGGTGACTTCTACTCACAATTATTTTTTAGAAAGAAGCTTTCTTCCTCCTTTTAATCTAAAAAGGATTAAAGGAGGTAACTGCATCCTAAATGCGATGTTTTAATAATAGTCCAGGTTCCCTCCCCTGCCCCCAAAGTTACTTGACCTTCTGTATAGTGTCATATTGCACCCTCGGGTCCACGCAGTTTATCTGAAGTTTATCACGATGAATAGCACCAAGACTAAGATGAGAGGGTCTGTGCTTAAGAAAAGAAACCAACTAACAAAGATTCGAAACTGTTGTGGTCTCTACTGTTCCAGCATCACCACACAAGACTGTTAATGCTTCCCCCCACCATCTCTGGATGACTGAATTAAATGTTCTCCACAAGTAAAATGTGTTTTTAACTGTCATTATTAGTCAGTGGAAGACTCCAGCAAATTCTTGTTTTCCCTTCTTATAACTGGCTATAGATGACTATTTCAATACTCTCAAAATATTTATATTTTTCAAACCAAAGCAATTTGCACAATTCAACTCAACATGCAACTTCAGGAGATTGCAGACATAAAAAGAAAGGCTTTTTGATTACGCTTCCTTGCTACACACCTCATTTATCTGTCATTTAGAGAGAAGAAGTTAGGATGATCATTTGCATAGAACTTTACGGGGAGAACCTGATCCTTACAGTTTTCAAACTGCAGACTCTTATGCAGTATGTTAAGCTAACAACAGATGAAAACAAAAAGAGAGTATAGGTACAGTTACCATGGAAAAATATTATAAGAATATTATAATAAAATGAACTACACTAGGTCTTCCGTTCTTTTTCTTACCTTTTTCTATCTAAATCAGCATGTTTTACATGAGATATTAAAAAACCAAACTTCAATGATACTACTTTTTTTCTACTTTTTACTTTCTGACTTTCTTACTTCCATTTTTTTCTTTTCAATAAGAATCTTCATAGCAAATTAAGATCAAGTTTAATATTTTCCCACGCAGTAGTGATATTCACCTGGAGTGGTCCCAGAATAGAGCTGGTTGTGTACATGAAGAAGAGACGCAGGTAACTAAGAACATTAGCAAAAGCAAAAAGGCCTTCTGCCACTAGGGTAGGATGGAATGCATCCCAGTCCTTCCTCTCAGCATAATCGTGAAACTGCAATATAAAAAGGACAAACTGAGATCACAGACATTATAAATACAGAAATGCACCCATCCACCATTCCCTGCTTCTGCCTCCAAAACAGGCAATAGCATAAAATAAATTAACACACACGATTCATAGATGGCTCACCTCTTTCAGGTATCTCCTTCTTTTTAGACAAAGGCATTTTAAAAGCCATTCCAGAGGGAACTAGACACCAGATGATTTAAATTCAACATCTAACTCTTCCACTCACTTGCTCAGCAAACCATTTATTCCACTGTTCTGCTTTGCCTTCTACTGATTTGCACTGTTTGCTGAAACAAAGGCTTGTGCACTTTATAAACACGTGCATTGTCTAGTGTAATAGGCCTCAGTCAAATACAACATTAAAACACTGCAAAGAAAACTAATGTACACATGCAACTGCAATGTGGCGACCACTGGTCTTACCCCGCTTTAGAAAGATTTAGAAGGACTTACGACCTGGGGTTGCTTCAAGGGATTTTATGAATGATTACAGAGAATGGAAGTCACAAGTAAACTGTTGGTGTAAACACACCCTTAAAGAGTATACACTAGGTACTATTCAACTATTCACAGAATATCCACAGATCCCTAACTTTTGGCTTGGCTGAAAACATTCTGCATTTGTATCACCAGCTTCTGCTGTCTCAAAATGGACATCCAAAAACTAAGAAACTCAGAACTGCTTTAAAATAACTTGCCTGAACGTGTGCTGCACAAAGATGGCAAGAAACAGGGATAATGATGTTTTTATACATTGCAATTGCATGTGTACAAATCCTTCTCTGCTACAGAGACTCTTCCTCTATTTCTTACAGCTTTGGTGCCTACAATATGGACCTCAGATGTAAAACAAGCATTTTTATTTGGTTTTCTAAATAAACTATAAAAATCAATTTTGCTGTATAGAAGTGGCAAAAAAGCCATCATGTGCCTGTTACGTTAGACAGAAGTCCTGCATCTTCGAAAAGGTTATAACTTAAATTAATAGTGAAGGGCTCTTATCTCAGCAAAGGAACTACTACTACAAACAAGTGCTGGTTGCAAAGCAAATGGTTGGGAAGGCAGCCCAACATGGCATTCTTTCTCTCTTTTTTCCAAGAAATGGAGCTTTCCTTTCAAAATGATTACCAGCCTGTGAATCAATGCAAGGATAGGGAAATGAGCCAAACACCAAGTTGGGAAGAACTGAACCAGTTTATTTCCCTCCAAGCTGCCAGACAGCTGTCAACTTACAGTTTGTAATACAAAATAATAGTGCTACTGCACCAGCTTGAATTTTGCTAAAATATTCATATTCAATTGGTCTGGCAGCTTGCCATATGCTGTGCGGCTAACAACACAGGCAACAGAATGGGAATGATCATTTTCAAAACTTCTATCTTCAATCAAATCCAGATGGCTTTTCACAGAGAAAAGATAAGGGTCCTCTATGGTCTTGGGGCTTTTTTCCTTACTACAAAAAACAAAACCAAAAAAACACCAAAAAAAACCCCAACACCATAAAACACCAAACCAAACCCCACCAAAACTAAAACAATTAAGCACATGTAATCAAAAGCTAAATAAAACTTTCTGTAACAGAAAAACTGTAGGCAATCTGAAGAGAGATTACTATTAGCTTTCTGTATAGTACTGATCTATGGAATCAGGTGAACTCAAATGCAAAATCAGATGAGCTGTATGGGGAGATTTCTCCAAATGAAAATCCAGTCATCTGGAAGACCAGCCAGTTCTTAGAAGGAAGACAGAAGCTCTGTTTGGGGTCCCCAAGTACTTGGACACATCTTGATGCATTTTCTAACTCCCATTTGCCTCATCAACTTCTTTTTCAAGCCCAAGGTGCAACAAGACCAGAGATCTTGACAACAACTCGGCATATGCCACATAGAACACTTAACTCAGAAGCCTAAACTGTATCCACACAGCAGGCTATAACTAATGTTACACACTTAACTACAACATACTACTACTAACATACCACACGTAACACATCTCTGCGTATTTTGCAGCAATATACTAAAATCATATTTACCCAGTCAGTCTCAGAGCAGCTTTGGATCTATGAAAATAGGTGCTCACCTTGTTATGGGCAACGACTTTGAGAGCAAAAGTTGCCAAGTACAAAGAATTCATGACAAAACTAAGCTGATTACGGGATTCTTCTAGAAAGTCTTCTAGACCATCATACCAGAGTCTTTTAACATCTGACCACACCATTCCTGCAAGAAAAAAAAAAGGCAAGCCAGGGAAGTAAAGGCATCACACTGAACAGATACTTTTCTACAACCAAAACATTTTGACTGGCTTTTTTAAACAATATATTAGCAAAGAGAAAGAAGCAGAGTAATCAAGTAGATTTACTAAAAGCATTGCATTGGATTACAAGCATTAATCACAAGGCAACAAGATGTTTAACCTTTTCAAGCCTACTTTCCAAATAAGAAACACACTCTCCAATAAAAAAGGGCATGGGAGGAAATGAACAGGAGAAAAACTGGACAGGAAAAGGTCAAATTTAAATAAAGGTAGAAAGTTAGAATACAAATGCTTTTTCTGAATGAAAACTATTCACCTTTTCCCAAAAACATTATAGAAAGCATTACGCTGCTATACAAAGTATCAAGTATTTTTTGGAATTGTGTAGGTATTAAAAAGTTTTTTTAAAGAATAATCAGCTTTGTAACCGTTACTGAAAAGATCCAAAAAGTAGAAACTTTTCCTACCCTAACTGATATTAAATAACATTAGCAGAGAAAAGAGACCATGACTTCAGACTGCAAAAAGCAGTAGTTTAACTCAGAGCAGCAAATATTTAAATATCCAAGATCTTTATAGCAAAATGAATTTTACCATTGTTAACCATGTCTGGTTATGCAGAAAAATACAGTTGCTAAGAATTTTACTGACTGAATGTCTCTTAGAGACTTAACATTTTTATAAAACTTGAAAGGACTGTTAGATGAAATATAATGGCACCTTTGATTTCTACAAATATTTAATGTTGTCTCTTTTTTTTGGGG